CCCCCCACTGTTTTCCCATCAGCACCTTTCGTATCTATGCAACCCGTAGCGTTCAGGTTGGCCAGACCGGCCGAGAGCGTCGCTTGCGCCTGGCGACGCGCGCGCCCTCGCGGAGCTTAAATTGATTTGACTTAAATGCGCCTAGACAGTGGCAAATGCAGGCCGACCTTTTAATTTTATTCACAAAGGAGTTAAAAGACGTCAAGTCCGACCTGGGATACGCAAGGCGGGTAATGGCTGCTGTCGGTGCGTGGGCGGGTGAACGGTTTGTTGCTTTGCAGGTGGGTTTAGGTTAGGTTTTACAAAGTACAAAAGAACAGGGTTACTGACAGTAGGCTATGCCAAGTGGCGGTTGTTATTACTTCTGACGGCGGGTGAGGGGAAAATGTACGCAAAGCATTTCAGGGAGGATGACCTGAGGACTCGTGAGCGATGCAGACCGAGTTTCATGCTGGGCATGTAAATTTAATACGTAAACGATCCTGGCACTGACAGCGAGAAAGGATGACGCGCAAAAGGGGGTGACGAGCACGTATCGCTATTACGTAATTCATAACGGAGCAGTTTGGAGCTAAAGGGATTAAAGGATTTTAAGTGGCTCGAATACGGAGAAGCAAAAACTTCCCCCTTCCCCCCGCCACTTCTTTTTCTCCCTTATTTTTGAATTTTCTTTTACTACCTAAAATGACCGAACAATGTGTGAAGGATTCGCGCATCCCTCCCCTTTTCGTCCTACGCCGATCGTCGTCCTTGTAATATTTATATCCAGCCTGATAGGATTGGACGACTAACAATAGGACGAAGTCAAGCGTCAGGGATTTTGCACCCTTTGGACGTTTCCACCCTGTAAATTGTCCATTCCTCACGATATCGCTAAGACAGGAAGAGGGAAAGATCCGTAATATCATGGGAAACTATCTTTCCGAGGCTCGAGGCTCTATTGTATGCCCAGGGTTTAGGGGATGGTTCAACCCTCCGTCCCTTTCTCACTTATGATACATATGAGGAATGTAGCGCGCGATTTCGCGTATACGCGCCGGCAGACACATTTTCACGGAGTATATATATATAGCAATAACCGTCGTGGACTATGGTATGGCTATGATAAGGGTAGTCTCAGGGGTGCGGTCAGCGGTTCACCCCGAGTCGGTCACTAGTTGGTCCCGGGAGACATCTTAAGTGCCCTGAAATCTCCGAACCTGGCCGGCCCGTCAGGGCCGTAGGATCGTACCGTTAAGTCGAACGTGAGCTTATGATTCCCTTAATCCTCGGGGCCACCCCTCGGTTATGATATCATCCGATTAAGAGGTCCATTTTCTATCCACCGTTAGAATACCGATTCGTGGAATTAACATAAGGATCCGTACCGAACGGCATTACGGCTACTTATCGAAATTACGAAAACTATCTCGATAATTCACTAGCTAGAAATTTCGTGCTCGGTCCTGTATTCGGCATTAAATTACCTAGTTCAATTTCGGCAAGTTTTTCATGTCGCAAACGGAATATCACTTTGATGTAAATTCGCATTGCTCGGTTCCAGGAAAGCGTGTGGAAGCTCGCGGTTAATGGCTCTGACGCAACACGACCGACAGTGAAATAAGGATAGCCAGTTCGTAAGCTGCGATCATGCTTAATCATGACCCCATAACGTACCGATAATGCCTTACTCCTACGAACCATTACAAAGGGGTAGATACAGACGGTGGCCTATGTATTCACATAAGGTCGCAGGTATATATGTGAATATGTCTACATACGGTTATAGTAGATATAGGAATATATATATCTATACCAGCAGGCATTATCAAACCATCGTAGCCTGTAGAACCCATTGAACATATTGGAACGTATATAGGATACGCGATGGAAGCAATTTCATACGTTTCCGAGAGCAGGAACCGAAGATTCTGAAAGTATAAAGGCGCGAGAGTTACTTAGCTGATCAGACAATAATTTTAGGGGTTGATAGTCAAAACCAGGGCGAAGCATGCGTGCCGAAGGAGGGTTCGACTGTATTTGCACCGATAGATATTTCGCGGTATGGGTAACGTTCTCTGGCATACCGAGACTTCCCGGTATAACAGGACTATAATTTTGCGTTATCGGTGAGTTCACGGGCCAACGCATCCCCTCCCTGGCAGAGAAGGATGGAGGACCAGGGAAAGTGAGGAATACAGGGATGAAGCAGGGATAGCTTGTGAGCCTATAGGATCAACCCTCTCCACCTTTTCCACCGTCTAGCCGTGACGGCAACGCGACCCGATTTCGAATCGAATCGAACTCACCCTTAACTCACCCTTAGGTTGCATTGTAAACCATCCCAGCGCTTCTCTATACCAGTTAAGTTAACAGTTCCACGTGATTGCAATACGATCCTATAAACGAGCGTTCGAGTCCGCCCCTTCTACGGTTTGCCTAATGTTATCCAGCTGCAATTAAGCACACTTTACGCCAAACACACTAAGATCCAAATTATCGAGTATTTAGGTAGACCGACTACAGTACCCAGTTACGTAACTTCAGGAGCTAATGTTCACTGACGACTCATGGAAAATCCTAGGAGTTAATGCAAAATCGACCTATGACCTTTGGATGCTGCTGTAGCATAATGTTTCTAATGAGAATCTAAAAAGAACGAGTTGAGACAAAATTAAGACAAGAGAAATTCATTTTTCTCTGGATCAATATAATTCTACAGATAGTTACTTGAAGTGATCCGTAGCGAAGCTGCCAAATAAGCCAAGATGAAGACGGCGAGAATTTAAGGCTTCGTTATCGGGAAAAGGAAGCTGCGGGCTCTTCCAATGTCCACGTCAGCGAGAAACCTTTCTCCTATCAGTTCTGACCGTCATCCACCAAGTTTTCGGGGATGGTCCAGCCTTTATTCACTCTTCAGATACAACGTGGCTGTTTCCCTGGTTTAGTGAGGTTATGTAGCCATTTACATGGCTAATGCAGCATCAACAAGAATTTCCTCCCTGTGAACAGGTACTTAACCTTAACCTTATGATTAATACTTACCGTAGACCGTAGGCTTATCCTCCTGACATCCAGTGTTCTAGTCTGCTGGATTCGACAAGCTTGCACATTATCAGCTCCAATGTATCGGCTATCTGTTAGAATTTACGCGCGATTTGCTCAAAGGTTCAATGGCGAGTGATGAATTGGTGATTAAGACGAGGCGTCTTCCGTGAAGCGTGCGGAACACCATCCGCACTGCGATTTCCAATTATCGGGATCAATTTTACGTGAGTTCACCGAACGTGCAGACTTTAGTTAACGTGGGCCGGTACTTGCAGTACCTAGTACGTATTACGTAACAGCTACGTGTCGGGTAGCAGAGTCCAATGCCAAACGCGATTTTCTGTATGTATCCACGTTACAAATTAACTTGGGAACCTTTAACAGCACGAATATTCCTGCCGCTGGGTAGAGGGAAATAAACCGGCGCCATGTCTCCCAGAAAATTTCACGCTGAAATATTTAAAAGGAAACACTAATTAGCGCCGTTGATGAGTTCCTTCTCATGTTTGCAAAAGGTTCCTTTAGTTACCTCAATTATCACGATATACGTAACAATCTTGTGCTACCCATCCCTCTCACAAGAGTGTAAGTACATACTGAAATATAGATATAATTGTATTGTAATTTTAGTCATCCCTGTATATCTTATTTTCTTAATTCTTTTTATTTTTCTAGCTGAATAATTTTATTCTTTTACCTTCAAATGTAATGTTACCTTCTGCGCCTGTTCTCTTTGTTACTTGCAAATAATAATTCCTCTTTGCAATATTACAATAATTTACTCGCTTGAGCCTTTACCTTTATGCATCACGAATCCTTGGCTTTTCTTTGTGTGGACAATGAATAATGTTTAGTTCAAACTTGTTCCGAATCATGTTCCTTGCTAGTGACGAACATTGCACGTATGTACCTTTGCACAGATCGCTGTATATCATACATGGATAGTCAATTCTCCCTCAATGTCGTCGTTGGCTTTTGTCATTCATTGTGCGACGAATTCAATGAAAGCCAACAGCAAGTCTCCCTCAACTCGGTATCGCAGCTAAAGGGAAGCTCGTTTAATTGAAACTCGAATCGCGTCTCTCTGTAATCCAAAAGGGCGACATTCGTATGCCACGCGAATATTTAGTTAGATATTTATAGATCCACCTCAGATGCGTGTTTGTGAAATAGAGACACAGAGAACATAGCAGTGACAATGTATGTATACAAATATAAGCTAAAGGATACCTACCTCCTCGTAATATCTGTTACGATCTGCTTTACTTTCTCTTCGACATTTATTTCCTTATTTCTTCTCTTTCTTTTCATGTATGTTTGTTTTTATCCTCAGAGGAACCAGGTATCATCGTTACGGCCATGTTTGTCTGTGGGTTCTGTAAACCACCGTCAGTGGCGCCACCGCAGGAACCGCCGCCTGACCAGTGCTCTGTTGCCGTTACTTCTTCTTTCTCCAGCAATGTAACTTCTCTCAGTCCCTTTGGCTTTTACCGTTTATAAATTATGATAACTTCATTTGAAATGGGTTTTCATAAATATTTGAAGAAACACGACGGGCGTTGCCGTTTCCACGATCAAATTGTGCAATACTGGGAGCGTAACTCCTTTAAATAAAGTAAAGCGCTAATGGATTCTCTCTCAGTTCTTCACCAGCATACTATACACGGTAGGATAAATATATTACACCTCGTATCCAAATAAAATCCTACCTCTTTGCTGCAAGTGAATTTACAACCCTGCATAACTCGCATTCACGTACTAGCTAATTTATTTCTACCTTTTTCCTCGGCATAACATAACATAACCTCTCTATATGCATTCCTGTCATGTTTAACCATCCGAAAAACGTCCGAGTTACTTTATACTTTATCTATGCACATTATATATATATACGCTGTACGTATCCATACAAGGGACTAACACTCTTCGTCCACTATTCCTGACTCGGGAGATACTCGCACAGACTATTTTCAACGAGGGACGCTTTTTTTATGACTCTACCTGGCACGCCACTATAGCAGCATAACCTTCATATCGTTACGTATATGTTATATTCCTCTACCTTTTTCTCCTTAAAGTATCATTCGTATCGTACACCGTCAAGATACCCTTGGAGTATAATAATATAATACGAAACATGTGGAAACGAAGTAGCGAACTGTGTTCCTGGTTCCTTATTTCTTAATTTACTACTTTCTATTTTTTTTTTAGACATTTTCCGTCATTTTTATACTTACAATGTGTTCCACGGTCAGTCGAGCGGCAAAACACTGAAACAGTACTACCGAACTACGAACAATCGAGCGTAATACTAGAATTATTCGTGTATTATCATTAGATATTCATAAATTCATTACTTACCATTGGTTTTCTGACAAGTATGCTTGGACGATAGATAATCGGGCGGATACGTAAACAGAGTTTGAAAACTCCGATAACATTGTATGCATTAACGTGCGGTAAAAAGATTGCGACATTTTCAGCGACAAGAGTGCGTGGGGGGAGAGAGAGAGAAAGAACGAGAAGGACGAATAGGTGAGTCAGAGAGAGAGAGAGAGGGGGAGAATAGCGTCGGAATAGAGAAAGAGGGCGTGGATGAAAACAGAGAGAAAAGAAGAAAGAGGCGAAGGCAATTTATAACCGAGGGGTAGGCGATAAAATCCTCGTTTTATAAGGTGAAACAAAAGAGTGCTCCGGAAGCCCAGAGTTATGCAGGGGAAAGTGATGGCGAGAAGGGTTCAGAGTTTTTACCGTGTTTGAGTATAAAAAAAAAGGCTTCCAGGTATATCGCTAATGCGCATGCGCGGGTCTCGGACCGTTTACAGGCCGAAAAATACGAGATGATTTTTTAGTAATCGTATACGCTCACGGTTACTGCCCAACTTTTACGTGGCCCTATCTTTTGAGGTTGTAATTTACATTCGCAACCCCTCGGAACCACGGCGACTTACAGAAGGGTGCGAATTGTATAGCGGAACGGGAGTACCTTCGGATCCGTTCTTAAAAATATTACCCAAATTTCAGTTCGGCATGGATTCCTTAAAAGTGTTAAATAAAATATTATTTATTACATCCTCAAACCAGTACTATAAGTTGTTAATCGTTATTATAAATCATGTCTTTAAATAATAAACACCCCACAAATTCATAACGAGACAGATTGTCATGTGAGTTCCTGTGCCAAAGAAAATATGTAGCCAGTCCACTAGTCAAATTTCTTTTTTTTTTGACAGATCGAAAACAATGAAGTCTTCAGCAAACCCGCACGTGGCTCTGCACATAAATTTCGATCACCAAGTAAATGCATGTGCATGTTCTTTCGAAGTATTTTATTTTTACCTTTAAAACGTGTATTTCTATGATTCTATCAAAAGCCACGTATGACTTTCCTAAAGTATTGCACTAATTGCCAACTCTAAAAATAAATATATTGAACTCCTCGGCTGACTATATATAGATGTATATAGTGGTTTGTTCATCAAAAGATTTCTCGAATAATACATAAAAGCCTCAAGAACACCGTACAATTTTATCGTTCAAATGGAAAGTTAAGCGCCGCGACGAGTTCGTAAAGGCCAATGGGGGTGTTTGGATGAATAGAGTAGGGTGACGTAGTCGGCGAGCCCTGTGCCCCCCGCATCCAATTAACAGGCATTACCTGCAAGGCTCCATTTGCGCGAAAATTGTTTTGTAACTCGAGAGTTATTAACTCGAATACATCAATTTCCCATGTAACTAATGACATCAGCGAAGATTAATTCAACGACGTAGTTTGACGGGGGGCTCCCAGGGAAGGGAAGCGTCGTACAACCCCCCGCCCACAGGACCCTCCAGGAGGTATTTAAAACGTATGGACAAGGGGTGGCAAGGTCGATTAACGATTTAGGAAACTTCATCCCCCTTTTTTTCCCTTTTTAATTCTTTATTTCCGGACAAAGGAGGACCCCTATCGGCGATGCTTGTAAGGGTGCTGAGGGGGTGTGGGGTGGGTGGGGTGAGTCGAGCAAGCAATGGAACACTCTAACGTGCTCTTAGGGGTTGGTTCTGCTGGTTCCACCATGTTCCATGGTCGCTCTTCTTGGTTGGTGATGGGCGTTGGTGGTTGAGGAGCGAAGCTATCATTCAGCCAGAACATGACAAGAATGGATATTGAGAAATGAGGAATAAAGATGATTACGCACCCTCGTCCCGACGCCATTTTCTCACGCATCTCCTCCGGGTGTTTATAATCCATCTATTCTGCAAAGATCCCAAGGCGGCTTCAAGATCCTCCACCTCCAAGCCCCCGACCCACCCTTCATTCCATACCACCGATTACAATTTACAGTCACCAGCCAGGAGCGTGTCACTCGGCACCCTTAACACTCCCTAAGGCCCTGCACAGAAAAAAAAGGGCGTAAAATTTATATATAAAAATATAATCCTCTATATATGTACGTATAGAGACCACTTTTTCCCAATTTGGAGCCCCTTTTAAAATTTTGTCTTCACTCACCCTTATTGGTACCCTATACGTACTACGTTATTTACCTCTAAAAGATTTCACTTTTAAAATCCAATCCCGAACGATCGGAATCCTAAGATAAGGATATATCGGAAAGTCGAGACATCCCTATTCCTCCTTACCGCCGTCGTTCCTTAATAGCCCGCCGAACAACCCCCTCTGACTCTTCCCCTTCACCTTCCAGTCTTTTTATATCTATACGAACGCCCGAAGGAATCGCATGCAGTCTGAACGTGGTCGAAGCCGGAGGACCCAGGTGCCAGGACTCGCACGACCCGTAAAACGGAAGGGAGACAAGAGGAGCCCAGGCATCCATTTTCCAGGAGGAACATGGCCGCGCAACAAGACTTGTCTCTGTACGTGCAGGATGCTGTAGCTGGCCAAAAATTCCAAAAAGAAAAGATAAAACCGTTAACGTGGTAATACAGTAGTGTCGGAGGGAGCCACCGTCGCGTTACTTGGTAAGGTCGGCAGGCAGCTTGAAATATAGCGAAATAAAATAACGCTACCCGGAGGGACATTATAAATAGTACTACCCTTTGTCCTGGCAACATGCTACGAAACAATAAAAATTTTTACTCTCCTATCCAACAGGGATATATACATGTATATATATATATCCTTGTCTATGTATACACATATGCAGACATACATAGCCGCTCTCGGCTTTCTCGAGATAAATCCTAAATTATCCTGGGCCAATTACTCCCGTGAAATATTGTTATCTTCCGTGCTGCGAGGAATGTCCGAATTTTCCAAAATTGCCAAGAGATCTGCTGAACAAGAGGAGCCTACCCGCATGGACCTAGTATGTTATTGTATTACAAAAACTGTGTCTTCCCGGCGATGGTATTACTGAGAAATTCTATTAAGACTATTTTTCATCCCCTGCTGATAATTCCATCGACGCGAAAGGGTTACCGTGATCGGAGACTGGAGTGATCGTAGAAAACTCAGCGGCAGCCACCCTCGTTGCTCTGGAAAGACGGCTCGTGAAGGTCCGGGCCGGTTAGCAGCTGACCGGAAGCTTCGCTTCGTTAGGGGTAATGGACGGGTGGTGGTAAATGGTGCGCGAGAAAGGAAACTCAGTCCCAACCACCCTCGGCGAGGTTTGCGCCGTTAAATTTGACGAAGGCGTCGGAGGGCGAGGACCCGAGAGATATCGAGATATCTCGCTAATGTCTCCCGACGGCTGGCCGGATGAGTCCTGGGGATGCTGGCTGCGTACAGCTACCATTTAACGTCTCCTTGCTCCGTTCTTTCTGGTTGGGCGAAGAAAAAAATGGTGAAAGCCAAGCGGGAGCCGATACGGCAGCACGCTAAATTGCGGGGAAAGAAATTCTAATTAATTGAAGGGATGGGGACGAACGTGAGGGGGTTGGGAAAGGGGTAGGCTGGTATCTACCCCTTGTTCAGGACCACCGAGGATTCTCTCAGACTCTCAGGGAATAAAGTCTTTCACTGCTTAGGGTCGAGAAGACAAAGAACCAGGCTTGGAACGCCAGCGCCCCTGATGCTCTACGGCAGCTGAATGAAACAAAAGTAATACGAACAATTAGTAAGAATTAACCTTGTCAAAGATGTGTCTGTGTTCTGACGTGCGATTCTCTACCCAGAAATTACATCCAACTCTCGTGGGATTCACGTTCTTACCGAGGAGCTACACGGCGCCGTTACTCAGGGCTGAGGAATCAAGTTCCGGCTGGAGCCAAAGTACACCTGAGACTCAACCCTTACGACGGATGATAAGAAACTAAGAGACTCTTGAAAGACTTCATGAAAATCCATGGCGAATCTAATTAGTTGTTAAGACGACGTAATCGACTCTACGTCTTAAGACGTAGGAATGGTAATTACGTGGTCCTTGGTCCACGTATTTAATTTCTGTAATTTATTCGAGGCGATGACCTCACTGGATATACCCAGGATATCTATTGAAGATGCTGTATAAGCGTAAGATACTTTTTTTAAATCATGTTCTTTTTCTTGTCACTTCAGTTCGTTTTATTAATTCAGCATTTCACTCGGATTTCCCTGCCCGTTAACATGCTAAACCAATCCTCTGTCTCTGCTGGGTAGGAATCAATCTCCAATCGTGGAATCGGAAGTTTCGCCAAGCCAGGAGCTTCCGGCATTGAATTTATTGTTATGCATTTATGCAGATTGAAATTAATATTAGGAATCCCAGTAGCGAGGAGGTCCTAGGCGGGAGATTGATTGAATCTCATGAGGTGATTGGATTTTACATAGACCTGGTCTACCACTTGACTAGCAAAGGTGAGACTGTTGTTCAGAATTTAAATAATTCATTTTAATTATACATTTTTCAGATTTATCGTAATCATGGAACAACCTTTTTTAACATCTTTCCCACGAATTTTTCAACTCGCACAAGGATGCCAATAATCTATTTGCAAGTTTCATTACAGAACGTTCCTCGTTCTTGTTTCTGCCAGCAATTCGGATTTTACCCTCGGCCAGTTATAGAATAAACGCCGCGAAATTCTGACGGAATCAATTTAATCACGACAAATTAGCACGCTTTGAGGGTGACTCGTAGATAACCCTACGCTTTAGTCAAGCAGCAACCAAAAGGGAAAGTGATAAAGCCCCGTCCGTAACGAGGAGATTTGCTTCGCGAGGGCTGCTGTTGCTGATGATGGTAGATTGGTGGGTAGGCGAAAGGAGGGTTGCTCAGAGGTAGAAGGAGTAATAGCAACGCCATGGAGGCAGAAGTTTTAATTGAGACGAAACGCCATTGGTTGAGGTCGGCTGTCTGCTCAAAAATAAAACCGTCGCCATCGTTGTGAATCGTGCGGCCCTGAAAGGTAATTAGAAACTCAGCCGTAGCAAGGCTAATTATTGTACATTGCCATCTACAGGCGAGGCTGCCTTCACTTTTCGCACCCCTCGTCCAAGTCGTCCCCATTTTACTTAGCATCCACTCCACCCTTATTTCCACTTAATAGCCGGCTAAACAGTAAATATCCACATGCAAAAGTGGCGCGATTAAAGCATCTTTTTATAAAAAAAGAAAACAAAAGAATAATAAGATTCTGCATAAAATAGTCACGTATAAAATACGTGACTTCATCTCGAGCCACTTTTTTCTTTTCATTCACTATTTTTCTTTCTTTTTAGTTGTTCTGCCCAGTGTCTGTGCATATATATATACACCGCAGCAAACTGATCCGATACCTACAGCAGGAAATGGGACGAAGAAGTAGAGAATCCTCGAAAAGTCAGTCTCCCGGAAGAATGGTGCAGCATCCAACAACTCCGAGTGGATTCGTACCAGTGACGTTCCAGTCGGGATAATCGGGAAATCCGTTTACGGTTACTCGTAAAGTATCAACGAGCACAGCACATGGAGCCCTCGTAAATAAATGGCTCACTTTAGTTTTCGTTATGAATTTAGTAGTCGGTTATTCACGGCTCTGGAATATTGATTCACGTGATTATAAAGAAAGTAAATCAGAACACTAAGAATGTTGTAAGAATTTAATGAAGACGTTTCATAGTTTATAATTTGCTTTTACACATTCTTGTAGAATGTTTAATTTTAATTCTACCTGTCACAGTTTATTCGATTAAAGTGTGAATTACCACAGAGGATCTCAGGATCAGAACAGGAGGAAGATCGGATGAAGATCCAGGTTATTCTTCGTTTCTGCACGCGATTGGTATCACTCTTTCTGGGAGGTCTTGTGGTTTTCTGGTTAAAAATTATATAATTTCTTTATAGTTCTCTGTATAATAAATGTAATATATAGATACGTGTACCCTTAAAAGCATTAAGGGTTACACTTACCGCCTTTCATTCTCGTCTAGCTTTCCACCTTCTTTGAAAAACCATCTGTATTGCCTCTCAACGTTTGCATTCGACTCGCTCCTTTTTCTCGTGAGCAACGGCACTCTGATCCCGGATGATCCTCGAGGAACGAACACCACCTCCTCGCCGTTCTCGTCCAGGGTTGATGAAGAAGCTGGACGCTTAACGTTGTACGTCAGGATGGATAGTGGGGTGCCTTGGTATCTTTGAATGTTTCGAGAGGGTACTTTTTTCAGAACGAAAGGCAACACATTTCTGTTCTTTTTACTTTCCTGTCCGGTTCCCGTTACGTTGCGACCAAGAGAGATGGACGTGAAAAATTGTGGATGGTTATTGTTCGTCTTAAAGTTCTGAGAATTATTTCTCCATAAACGAGTACTTGGATTAACAGATCCTTTCGTTTCCTTAAATGTCACTGTCGTCGTCGGATTATTTTTCGAGGTAACGTATTTCACTTCCGTAAGAGATTTCGACGTCGTGATCTCAGATTTCGTTTCTAGACTCTTATTCGTCCGCTCATTGACGTCACCCACTTGAATTCCTTCAGACGGAAGCGAAGATTCTTTATCGATAATGTCGAAAGAACTCATCGTGCTTCCGGTATTATCCGTGAAATATCCTATTCCATTAGAATCCATCTCTGATACTTTTTCATCGAGTCTAGGAACACTCGTCGTCGACTCATCAGAGTAGTCCAGCGCCTCGCTCGGTGAAATCGAAGAAGTTCTCGACGTAAAATCACTTCCGGTAAGTCCTGGCGAAGTTCCCTTCAAGCCAGGACTGAAAAAGCTCCCAGTGATTGATGAACCAGTCCCAGCTCCCTGAGATCCCACAGCGAGGATCGTTTCCGTCCTGGAATAACTCAAGTCCGTCGATTCGTACGTGGGCCATCTGGGTGACGTCAGTTCCTCCTTAAGAGACACTTCCGATGACGCATTCTGGCTCAAGGATTCACCTTCGCTCTCCCGACTTGTTATTACACCAGGTACAGTCCCTGTAACCAATTCTAAGCAACATGAAACTGTATTAAATTTTATTAATTTTTCAATAAAAAAAAATTATTTTTCAAAATAAGTACCTTCAACCGTAAATTTCTCAAACTCTTTCGCAGTTAATTCAGTATCCATTGTGATTGTTTTCCTCTCGCCGGAAGTGTGCGGATCCTCCAATGAAACATCGGTTACTGTTTTGATACCGGAAACATCCAACTCATCGGAACTACTACTAGCAGGACTATATTTACTGTCAACCTCCGAATAATAATCCTCCCCAGAGGTAGATCTGCTCCCATTGTCCTTTGGGATTCCTTCTGTTGTCCGTGAAGTTTCCTCTTGTACACTTCCTGTCATTGAATATATCTTACTTGCTGGGAATAATGGCGTAGAATAGTATCGAGGACTCCCGCTAGATGGATCCTTATCGTATTTATAATTACTAGCAAAAGTTAAAGATGTAATATCATCCGGAGGTACAGTTACCGTTGTACCCAAAGACTTTATTACTTGATTTTCCCTGATTGGACTGGTACTTCCGGTTAAATTGTCCGCATCAAAATAATTGTTCTGTTTGATCATTTCTTTCAAAGTTTTACCGTCCGTCGTTGCTTTTATCTTTTCATTAATGTCCTCCTGCTTATCCGGCGTAACGAGTATCAGGATATTCGTCTCATTGATTATATCATTTCCACTGATAGTCGTATTCGTTAAATCCTCCTCTTTATCGTCGTTATCAACAGTACCGAGATATCCTCTCTTCCTGGTCATCGTTATCTCCTCAATCCACTTTGTTGTCGCAATGGCTTCCCCATCTACGTTATCCAAAGCATTACTCTTCTCTGTAAATGAGACGCTACTGATATCAAGTACGTTTTCTACTATAACATTCTTTCTTATATCCGTATCAATAGCCGAAGTACTAGAAAGAGATTTCATCTCATCCGTTATCCTCCCGACGTCATTCTCAGTATCGGTAGTTTTCAATTTTTTGATAAGAACAGACGGACTACTACGATACTGATTAAAATCCCTCGTAGATTCGGACGTTTGAAATTTTGAAACAATTTCACTAGTTTCTTCGAATCCTTCGTCACTAATCCTTGTAGATTCCTGGGTGTACGATATTTTGGAAATACCATAGTCATCGGTATTCCTGGTATTTCTCAAAGATCTTTCCTCCAGATCCAAAGTGGTTCCCTTGAATTCGTTATTCGATTCTAGGCTATTTTGATTTTGCGTCAAGTCCGAAATAATGGAAATAGTTCGACTTGCTGGTAAAGCGGAAGCTTCAGGCTGTCTTCCGTAAATGATAGGCGTACTGTCTGTGCTATTCACAAATTCATTGGTATGTCTGTAAAATAAAGAGAGTTAAAGAAAACGAGACAATATAACAAAAGAAATTTACTGAAGGGCTTCTTTTACACAACTTCTGTACGTATTCTAATGGGTAACGCGAAGCTGCGGTTAGAAAATCTCAGTACGTATTCCAGAGGCCTACTTCTCCTTCAAACCGGAAATCCTGCACCGACTTTGAAAGAGTTGAGTGCCTTCGCTTGCATGAACCGAGAAGACCTCGACGCAGACGCCGATGCCGACGACGATGACGACGTCGCTTCGCGTAGTTCAAATAAAGTTGTGTAATTCTATAGGAAGGAGACTGCGAAGTATCTTCAGTTCCTTTTCCCTTTGATGAATCAACTGCTGAATTATTAACGATGCGCTCCAAAGAATCCGGAGTGGGTGCTTCGCAACTTTTCATATACTCCGTCGGGAAAGTGCCCGTTCTTGAAAATCCCTTGGTATCGTACTCCGCTTTCGCCGCTACCTTCACTCTTCTTATTACTACCTCAAGGAATTCAAATTCGCACCGATGCGCGGGCATCTTTTCTATTTCTCCAACCCACTCGACTTGCACTACAAGATCGCTATGAAAATCGATTCAATTTATAGAGCAGTAATATTTGCTCCTGGCCATTTGTACTAGCTCGTGGTTAGGTTAGGTTAGGTTAGTTAGTTTATAAATAAAATAAAACGAAATGACGATACGTGCGTACCTGACGTGCTCTTCGGTAAACACAGGAACTTTCTCTGGCATCGTTTGATAAGCGAGTACCAGGAGTCTGTAGAGTCGTGGCAACTTCTCCTTGAGCACAGATCCCGCCGGTTGAGCATCGTACAGTCGTAAAAGTCGCAACCAATCTGACTTTAATGCTCCGAATGGCAATGCATTGACAGGACACTTAAATCCGGCGGCCATTGCTTCGACTGTTGGTATTTCCATGAAGTTAACTTTCGAAATGTAATTCTCTAGATCGGAAACCTCAAAGTCGATACAAGACTTTTCCATAGGCAAATCGAAGTTCCCTAGGCGGGCTGAAACTTTTTGAATTTTCCAGAAGATGGCACCGCATTCGCAACACACGAAATTAAGTCGACAGAGGCTACGTTAAGTATATTTACAGAAGCTTACCGTACTCTGCAAGAATGACGACAGGTGCGAACTGCAACGCTATGTAGAACAGCAAATTCGTAGTCATGGTCGATAAAGGCGCACCCACTGAGCATTCCATTCAATTTTCTAGAACGTTTAAAAAGAACTGAGTCGAAACGGCTTCTCAAACAAAACAAAAGTGCAACCTCGTTCACCATATTCAAATCGAATTTCCATACCAGACAATTTGATCAATTCTGACTTTTCTCAACAGCAAAAAATATACTTGGAAATCATAAACTTCTTCCACGAGCAGCGCTTTAAGCCGGTACTCACGATACTCATGTGGTCTGACGAATAAACCGCAATTCGCATGAATGGAGTAGTAGTTATCGCGCTAGTTGAAATCTGAATGCCGTCTGGTCAGCAAAAATCTTGGATCCTGATTACAAAACGCATGCGTCCAGGAAATGCAGGAATGTCTGCTGGCACTACGCTAATAACGTTACCCAATATACTATATGGTGTCTCTGTAGACCTTATTCGGCGTGGATGCACGTGTAGACACCCGAGAGATGCCATATAGATATGTTCAACATAATTCAGTCATAATTGATTTATCGCACAATAATCAGACCTTGTTTCTGATTTCATAAATAATATCCAATGTAACGGGTATCTGCGAAGCAACTAATAACCTAAAATCACTGCACAGTCAAGTGTCAATAAATACTCATTAAACGACAACTGCTATCGTGATAGTCATCGTCATAGTTTAGTAAACCTATCAAAATTAACTCCAATGAATATAAAATTGTGTAATGTAGCATAACAAATCCTATATTATCTGTGTAACAATATGACTACTATAACATCCATTAATCCATTGAACAAATATTAAAGGAAAATTATCATCTGTTTATCTGGTCAATATTTGAAGCCTATCAGTGACATCAGATTGCACTGGACGTGTCTAATATTTCGCCATAAAAGAAATGTATTTTGAAGATACCCCTGGTGAAGGGCTCGTGGGAATTGTGACTTCAAGACGGCGGAAATCGAAATTGAATGCGATAGAGGCATAGAAGAAGGACATGCCCAGCGGATAACTTGATGAGCGTTGATACTGTGAAACACAAGGAGAAAAAGAAAGACAAACAGTAGATACAGACAAAGAGAGAGAAAAGAAGATAGCCATTGAATTAATTGATATTGAAATGACGTACCGCGTGGCGTTGTCGATGTGCATCGATTCAAACTTGTTATTTGTATCGCAGCGCCATCTTGATAAACACTAGCCGTTGTCATGGCAACAAATGTACCAATATCCAGAAAACACAGAGAAGCAAACAAATAGAAACGTACTGGCAACTCAGATGATTCATACGTGCATCTTTAATATGCACCTTCCATAAATTGCGTCGTAAGGAGAAACAAATAATTGTCGATGAAATAAACTGTTCAGGGTCAACGTATATATAAAGCTTTCCATACAACATTCTTTTATTTCGTTTTTATATATTTTTTATATCCTCGCAAGTCCCGTGCTCTTACCGTAACAACCCAGCCTTCCCACCGACTGAACATCTTCGAGCAAATCGGATAAGCGAATTTCCCAATAACACGTAGGAAAACAACGTGCTGCGCAAAAACTTACGCCAATCAATTAATGCACGAGCTGTATGTGATGTGACTCGTGTTTTACAAAACTGTGATACTCGATTGCCACGTGCCTCTACGTGGCACGTGTCTCTGCGTATCAATATATTATATTATATTCTCTCATCTCCCTCCCTCTCTGGCTCTCTAATCTCAAAACTCTCACCTTCCTTGCAAATATCTCATTCTTTTATTCTCTGCTACCGTACCAAATAAACCCGTACTTCCTCCCTCATTCTCTCAACACGTGTGCGAGAGTATAGATATAGATATACATACGTATATAAAAATTGTACACCGCACTACTATTACAGAATAATTACAAAGTAGCTACATACATATTTATAACGACAGGCGAAAAAGCCGCCATGACGCGTTTACGTAATCGCTTCATCCTTCCTTACATTCCTTTTGACTTTCTCCTCTAATGCGATCTGTCAGATAATCGCGTCATCCGTTGCACGCCGATGAATTTCGAAAACGTTGATCTTAGGAAGGACGGCGATTCTTCGCAGCAGAATGAACGTCCCAAGTGGTTCTAAGAGACGCCGCAGTGGCGCTGACAGCGGTGCAGCGGAGGCGAAAAAGGGATGAACAAAGTAACGGACAAACATTGAAGGAAAAAATAACGAGAATAGGAGTGTGACAGAGAAAAAGAGGAATTGATGTATTAAAAAAGAAAAAGAGGAAAAGAGAAGAAGAGCGGACGACGATGAGAAATCTAAACGGTAATTGAAAAATGGCCGGTACTCCGGAGGTGAGCGACCCCCGTCAATAAACGAATTCCGACTACACCTCGCAAAAATTCAATTTAACGCAATCTCCGATATTCGCCCATCGATTCCGTCCTCCGCGCGCGCACCGGAAGTAAGGTTATACTCGACCAAACAAAAAAATGTAATAACGCCCGATTGTGAATCGGCTATAATAATTGGAAGGTGGAATTGCGACCGAGGATGATTTACGTTCGAAGAGAAAAAAATGTGAGCGACGATTTTACACCGTTACCACTAATGCCAATGCCAAACGCCACCGCGACCATTACCATTAACAATTACCATTAGCATGACGTTCAGCCTCGTTCCTTCGTTCACTTTCAAAAAAAATTCTCTTTGTCTAAACGGTTCAATTCTTATCCACATACCCATCAGTATTTTCGTGGCCGATTTTCTAAACGTTTCATAAAATAACACAACCAATCATCTATCACGTCACCGAACGGTGTCGTTAATGTGAACGCGCCAAATATTTTATATGTATACATATAAAATACTATAATTCTATATACATATATGTCTGTGATATATATATATATAAATTGAAAAAAACTGTAGCCACACCAAGGCAAATAAGAATTCACGGTGCACGTATCTCCCATTATAGTCTTTTATACTTATAGAATATTTACATAACCTCCTAATAACGTCACGGGAATTCTCGACAAATCCACAAAAATCCAGCCTGAACTTTGTAGCGTCTTAACGTAAAGAACGTAAAGACGTGATAACATTTGATTATCGAAATAACAAAGGAAAGCAGGAAAAAATGGGGAATATCAGAAAGAGAAGAAAAAAAAAAAGAATAGGAGAAAAACCATTTTCGGCATGATAACCTCATTTGTTCGCGCTTGAAGTAAAATTGGGGAACGGTGAAAGGAGTAAAGAGGTAGAGGTACAGAAATTGAGGCCCACCCCCATTCACAACCTTTTTTAAGGTTCCCAAGCCACAATATCCGGCACTTTGTTTAACGCAATGATAATTGTTTTAATGTCTCATTAGCACATAGGTAATTGCCATTTTTCGTAATGCCTAAGCTTACGTTATGTTTTTTGTCTTGTTTGTTTACCTTTGTTTCTTGGTTCGTCATACAACGCCACGTGTTACACAATATTTACTATACGCATAATCGCTTTGCTCGCATTCGTTACGTTTAACTCTACCTACTTTGCTTTGTATGCTTTGTTTTGTATTGTTTATTTACTTATTTGTTTGTTTGTTTGCAACCCTGAGACTACGATTCTACGACCACGGCGAATCTATGCGCTGACCAAGATAAAAATGACCAAAAAATAAGAAGGAAAAATATCATGAAATGGAAAAATAAAGAAAAAAGCTGAAATAAGGACAGAAGAAAAAAAAAAGAAATAAGGCGAAGGACAAGAGCTGTGAAAATTCTCAGGAGGATAGGTCTATGGCCGGTAGAAATGGAAAACGTCGGCAGAGATGTTACCAGCGATGGTGAGACATTAAAAATGACATGAAGAAAATGGAAAAAAGGTAAAACATGAAATAAAACCAAGAACGAAGAAGTGATGAAGAGACTACACAAATTTTAAGTAAAATTTGGTTTCAGGTGAATGAACGGGGAGTGAGAATAACTGACTGTGGGAAAAATGGGTGGAAGAGGAATGAATGGAAAAAAAAATGTATTTAGAAAAAAATATTGAAGAGAAAAAATACAACACTCTGTACTGTGCAAAGAAAAAGTAGCACGAATCGCGTGGGACGATGTGTACAAGGGAGCGTGTATTGTTTTTATAATTTTTGTCATTTTTTTATCTACCACTTTCTTTCCCATTTTCGCAACGCACTCAAACGTTCATAAAGCGTCACGTAACGCAAGTTATCACAGTTCGATAGAAAAGCTCCCGCGTGCCTGTAGCAGGTGCTTTTCGTGAGAGTAACAAAATGAAAAAAGCAAGAAGACCAAAATAAAGATGCATATACAAAAATAAAGGGATATAGAGAATAAGCAACGAAAGGTGTAAAAATTAAATTGGAGTGTTTATCGTTTTTGTAGAATGAACAAGAATTCTCCCCTGCCTACCCGGAAACCTCCTTTCTCACGCGTACAGATTACGCAAGTAGGAAAAAAATCAAAGAACAATACATAAAATTGTTAGCCCGGGAAATTGCAAAAAAAAAAGGCATTGAAAAATTCAAACAAAAGATGTGAAAGTCCCTGTGAAAAAGAAAAGAAAATTGAACGTGGTAAAGGAACGTCCTGAGCACTGGGGGATCACCTGGTTTCGCTCGAAATTCGCCGTGGCCCAACAGCCATGTTACTTCGTTATCAATAATTTCATTATGCTACGTACTACACGCTGAGGAACGGACCGCCATTACGCAGAGTGAAGGAAACTTAAAAATACAATGTGAAAATGAGAAGGTAAACTCGACTTGCGCGAAGTGCACGTTGCGCGCCCCGTGTGTAGGCCAACTGAAGAAACGGAAAGAGGAAACGGCCAAGAAGGAAAAAAGAGCGAGAAAATTAATAAGAAGAAAAGCGACACCGCAGCCGCATCGCTATCTTCTGTTATCAAAGTAATACATTGTCTAAGAACGCATCGATATACTAAACTGAATTGTAATCGATATGAAAGTAGAAAGTAAATCAATTGTTCGCAGGCATAATAAACTGCCATTTAATTGTGTATCCCCGAAAACAAGCAGGAAATCTTAATAAAAGAAGAAAAAAAAGTGAACAAAGAAAAAATCATACCTAGCCATTTTCTCTTTCTCTCTCTCTCTCTATCTCCAATTGTTATAATTCATTGTTCTTCGCTTTTATTGCACTATAAACGCTACGGTCCGCCATTACGTTAAATAAACAATATCACGGACGTAACGCAGCCCGTTTTCGTTTTCTTCTTATTGTTCCTCGCGATACCTCTCGTACACATTTTGTATAGTATAATTATTAATGATTTCTTACATATTCCATTTTTTTCTCGTTTCCTTACTATTGTACCTTAACAAAAGTAAGACCGACAGGATTGGTCGGTTCACGACGGCTACCATTATCATGGGATACGACTTCCCGTGCACAATCTTCGTAACAGTAATAACTAGATAATAAAGATCCCTGAATATATTTTCCTACGTTATCTCATCATCTTTCACTCCGTGGTACGTTTTACATAGAGCGTTTAGCATCTTGATGCACTGCTGTTAAATGTTCTGTAGTAATTGTAACCCCTGGCACGTGCAATAGCGTCACACGTAGATCTCGAGAGAATACAAGTACAAGAGGAAAAAAAAAAGGAAAGTAAAGGCGCAAAATATGAAACGCGCTATCCGAGCAAAATATTCACTGAAACAGCTCGTCGGCACTGGTAACTCATGTCTTTTGATCATCGTCGTATGATTCGACGCCCGCGTCGTTGCGGATATAAACAGAATAAACGTGAGAACGCACGGAGGAAAGTTTGCCCATGTAAAAGAGAGATAAGAAAAATAAATGATAAACAGAAGAAAGAAGATGATGAAAAGTCCCAATACTTAACACATACAGATCAACTCGCTTGATTCGCAAAATAAAGTTTTACTTAACGCTCCCTCTCTCTCTCTCTCTCTCTCTCTCTCTCTCTCTCTCTCTCTCTCTCTCTCTCGCTCTCTCTCTCTCTTTACTCGCTAAAGTATTTATTTGAAAAAAACAAATTTCTCTTTTGTTTCCCTCAATTCTTCATCGTTCCATCTCTTTGTTCATACGCTGAGCCAACATCTTCAATAGTCGACTCGCGATCGCATTCTTCTTAATAAATTTGCCTCCTTGTATTTTCTTATTTATCTTTCGGTCTCTCGCACTCTTGCTCTCACCTTCTCTCCTTTGTACAACAATCGATACAAAACTTTACATCTCACTTTCGTCGCAGCATCACATCACCGCGATCAGTCCAGACTACGCACTTATCCCAACCTTTGAAACACAGATCGTCGGCTCTCTTGAGAATTTCAACGACACCGCGAGCATCCCTTAAGGATCCAATTGAGTTTCCCATGTCACTATTTATGACTACCTTCATAATTAATTATATATTTATCCAATCCATCCTGGTAATCTGTTTCTACATGTATACCTATATACACAGACCGTGTCCAGTACTAATGCGTCGCGACGCGACGTAGACTCGACGTTTTTATCGTACTACCTGTATGTGGGGCGTTCGAATAGAAACGTATAGTCATAAGTGTGGACGAGTAGATCGTCGAGAAAAAAAAAAGTCAAAAATCATCTCCTTAGAATTTCACGCAATCTCTCGTGCAGATTGCAGCACCATGAATGGATTGGATTAGCGACAAAGGGTAAACCGTAAATTACAATCGCGACTCGTCAGAGCAAACAGATTATCATAAGTTCCGTATGAATTAGTTCATGATCCATTAAATCTGATAAACCATTCGGACTTATTCGCTAGGATCTCACAAATGTTTCTGTGGACCAACAAGAGGTCAATCGTTACCACCTTCGTCTCAACTGTACAGACTTTTCAAACTAACCGAACCGAAAGTCGCGAGTGTCGATTACATTCCGCGATGAAATCGGGCACGGAGCTTCTGGCTAATCTTCAGAACGACGATCTTCGCCAGTTCCTTGTGTTCCTGTGTAAACTCATCGGTAAGCCGCAGCCTCCAGCATCTCGACGAAAAGCTTATTCATGGGAACTTTTCCCGTCCGATGAACACTCGACCAGAATTTTCTCACGATACCATCAGCCTGCCTCAGGCTCGGTAACACTAGGAACATATTTTGCGTGGCACGAAGAGCCTGCCCAGGTCGAATAGCCGCTACACAATCCGACAGGGAGTTCAAGATGGAATCTCGAAAGCGATACAGGGTCTGTGGCTCGTCCAGTCTGACGTCGCTGTTCGTCAGTACGAGAGCCTTCAATACGAAGTACTCCTCACGGGCCAATCCCAATCGTTGAATCCGCTCCACGATTTGTATACACTGCAATCAATAAAGGACAGATCTTAGTCGCGTCGGATTACAGAAAAATAATAATCTAAGGTTACTTAATTCTATAGCGACAGTGTATAACATTGTCATAATACAACACTAGGTTCAAGATCGCTACTTCAATTTTTTTTTCCGCTTTCTCGTTTCTTCGCAATATCACGCCTATCGTACATTATTAATATACAGCGTCACACGTCTGTTGCTCCAATAAATGGAGTATTAGTGATTCACTTCGAGGATATTTTTATTTGCTAAATTCTGACCTACTAGACGGCAGCATTAAAATTCACATGGACTTTACTATGCTGAACCACGGAGGTTCGTACAGTCATTTTGGCTTATAGTCGTTTAAACATTTATCTCAACCGACGACAGCATCATTGATGAACCATACTTATCGTACTGGCCTCTTCTTTTTTCAAAAGGCGATAATTTACAATTGAGCAACATTCCAGGCCGAGCATTTGATGTGACATTCTGCGCAAAGTTATTATACTGCCGGCAACAACTATGCTTCTCATTGGTTATCGCTCCTGAGATTTCATTAAGTTATACATATATACCAAAATTTTAATCGTGAATTAAACGTGACAATAAATTTTTAATTTTGATTATCGTAATAAAAATTCATTGTTGCAATCGTCCCTACGTGTCGATTCAATGACAATGCGCGATACAGAGAATTTCATCTGCAGCTGGTGGTTCTTTTCACATTTTTTTTTTACATACGTCACGTGAACCGCAGCCATAATAGATGATATCACGAATGTACAATTATTTTTATAAAAATCAAATCGCATTTTGCACAGTCCATTGTAGCGCGTAAACTAAAAATCAGTGCCAATTGATCATCCAAAACCAAAATACACAAGGAGAGATTCTTGTTGAAAACAAAATTTACAATGATGCGTGATGCGTCGACTCCTTGGACGTTGGTATATATGTACGTATCCGAAGCCTTGAGAGAAACACGTCATTCTAGCCTAATGCCAGCAACTGATGATGCACTTTGAAGAGTCATAAATAAGAAATTTGCAGCGAGAGCGTGCAAAGGTGGAAATGGAAGATCAAGGAAAAATTTTAATTGCCAGGAGAAAGTGAGAAAGGAGATTTAAAAAAATAAATAAAGATGAAAAGAGCGTCACTCACATGGGCATAGAGCTCAGAGCAATGGCACTCACGAGCCAGCCTCTCATCCAGCGTGAAATCCTGGGCGAACCTGAGTCTTCCACAGTTGGGCATGCTCCGCCAGGCGAGGCTGAAGGTCAGGATTTCAGCCCACGTACTCTGAAGAAGGCGCATCTGGTCGTTCAACGCTAAGCTGCTGAAACCAGGTATCTGTTTCGCCCAGCCTGTAGTAAAGAATCAACAAGATTCATAAGATTAAGAAAAAATGAAAGACTGATCGAAGGTCAACAGGTGCTCCCGTAGCGATCGACAAAAAAAGTCGACAAAAATATAAGAGCCAGTAGGAGAACACAATATCGAAAATATTTACCAATGATACCAACGAGTTCCCGATCGTAAAGATCTGAGAGTTGTCCAAGAACTCGTTGATCCGTATCCAAGGTATGAGACAAACTCGACACCTGGAGAACATCCGGTTCGCAAGCCATGAGGGCTTCCACCATTTTATTATCTAAAAGCATAGTCAAACGTTTCGCTCGTTCAGTATTTCAAAAAATCAGTGGTTCGTACGCGTCTATACGATAAAATGTCGATTCTATCTCGTATTGAGACATGATCGATGACCAATATTCCAATTGATGCAAATGACAGAAAGGCAGGATATTGGTAAGCGGGATGACGCCGGATAAGATCGTACAGTATACCTGGATGCTGTGAGAAAAAAGGAGGACGGAGATAAGAGGAAAATTGTGAAATAAGAAAATAACGAATATTCTGTCACACTTGAAGATACGCACGATTTCATTAAAAACGAGAAAGCACTGACACTTACTTATTGCTTCCGAAGAGGCTGCCGAGCCTACGTTAGCTTGAAACACATTAAAAGAGAATTTATTGACTCGTGTCGCACGTGATTTGACGTTACATCGCAGTGTAAATAGATTTAAAAAAGTTAATAAAATATTGACTAAAGATCTAGGATAGCTATCGAGTGATTCGATTTTAAAGAGAATGCTCATTAGTCCCATTGAATAATTACCTTCGAGTGTAATAACTTTGCCAGGCATGTAGGGATCCGTGGATCTTCTATATTTTTGTCGGCCACCTCTGACCCGGTCGAGTCTGACACCCTCCTTGAGCATCCCCTGTCTCAGGCACTTCTGAAACCTGCAGGCTTGGCAGGCTTTCCTTCTGCGTTTATTGATCTCGCATTCTCCGTTGGCCGGACACGTGTACTCGATGTTACCTGTAAAGTTACTCGCTATTTTATCATAATATTCGTGGTCCTTCTCCAGATAGCAACGGTCAATCGCATTCTGGATACCTCTTAGAGGTTTCGGTTGATAATTAAAAGAAAAAAGAGGGATAACACAAAGTGATTCAAATGCAATCCTTGTACCAAAGCTATCTGGAAGAGTATCTTCATGCGATTGTTCAGAGGATCCACGCAGGACCTCGACCTACCTTGTATCGTTCTCTTGAAGAAGGCTTTGCACGCTTCGCAGGATGCGACGCCATAATGAAAACCGCTTGCCACGTCACCGCATACCAAGCAGAGTCTTCTGGGCATCATGTCCTCTTCCTTGATACCTTCCTAAATGGTAACGTGATACGAATCAGATAAAATTTCTTTATTACCATTAAATAAAATACATACCTCTGGCGTCCCTAGGGGCTGAGTCGTCGAAGAGCAATGATGCATCTCAGGACTTCCTGGACTACCCCCGCCGCCTCCGTAGTCCGGCATATCCATCTTCCCACAGATTCCCTAGAAGAGCCATAAAATTCTTTATTAAAACCAAGATCCAGTATTCCCTGAGCGAACTGGGTGCGAAAATCATTTATGAAATTTCATAGTCAATATACGAAGACTCACTTCTTGATGATGAAGAGTCGTCGTTGGCGAGCAGACCTGATGATAATTTTGGGTGGGCGTCGTGGGATTCTCGACCTCCTGCTTGATGTTCGGCATCGTCCTATTGTTTCCGACCGTACCTTCAACGGCGGTACCAGACATCATACAAACCTGAAACAGCAAAGAATAAGAGAATAGTCTTAAGCTGCGTTTTCAATAAAGTCGTTGATCCGACTGTCGGGAAACAAATGATCTGAAAGGCGAGGACGGGATTTTTCCGAGGCGGTTTTCTTCGCTCGTGGTTCGCTATGATGGGTAGTATTATTTTGTATTAACATCGCCGATATGGGGGAAACCCTGGGAGCGGTAGAGCTGGGTTTTGCCCTACACTTTCTCGAGTAAGACACTATCTGTCGGGAAACAAAGAAAAATGACAACGGAAGACAATAATATAAAAACACAGCGTCCAAAGTAAAGAAGTACCCAGCGTCGTGTATTCGCCGAGTTCTTTTTGAAGTTCGCCAATGCAGAGCCGATCGCATTTTTCTATTTGGCTCGCGGCGCCTATTTTTAAAACGCAAACGACGATCGTCATTTTTAGAATCGCGTTCCGGGAATTCATGGATGCCTGGTGAACGACTGGATGCGTCTTTCGAGCCAGGCAGATTTACGGTCCATTCTCGAAATTTAGCCTAGTGCCTTTGCTGCGTACGAAAATTTTGAAAAACAGAATTAACTCCGATAAAATTGCATAGAAAAAGTATTACAAAATTTTTTACATTACTTTTCCATCCGAAATCCATCAACCCCCAATTTTTCCCCAACAAGTTGCCTCCAGCCACCGTCGCTTCTGCAGACCCGGCAAAGCTGTTACTCCGGTAGAAAGACAAGTGGGGCATAAGTCAGTACGCAATAACGCATTTGATGCACATCGATTCGCCATCTATAGCGCCAGTCAAGGTTACACGTAACTCCTCATTGTCAAGGCTGTCAGACGGACCCTGAACTCCAGACGCAACTACACCCCTGGTGCCGTGCGCCAAGTCAACGGCCAAGGATGATTTCGTTTTCAACGGGACGACGTGTCGCCGCGCCCCGATCGATTTTACCAACCCCTCCCACATGCAATCCCTGTGGTGAACCTGGTGAACCCTTCAAGAAACCCTGCTAACCCAACGTCTGATCCTAGGAACCTTCCCTGATCTCTCCAGCTGACATCCCGATCCCCGTCCGCCCCTCCCATCTAACCACAACCCAACGCAACCTAACTGCACGAGCATGAATGGACGCTACGGAATTTACGGATTATTGCATAATTCACAAGCTTGCATTTTTATTTAAAGGATCATTTCGTATGCACGCGACTTCAATAACACTCATGCACACGGCAGGCAGCGTGTGTGTCAACCCGTGCGACCATCGAATTCACACATGGCCGACCAATATATGCTTACAGAAAATTCCATGCAAAATGCGAGTACAGTTAATAAAGAAAGTAAACGACGCAGGAAATTTGGATAGTTGAAAAAAAAAATTTCGCAGCTGTAACGATCTCAAGAGATGGGAGGGGCACCCGCCAAACGACGTACCGCCCTGACGAGACCCTAGAAGGGAGAAAGTAACGGCGCAAGGGTTGCGTAAGTCCTACCCGTCCCATGGTGTAGGAACGATAGTAGGGAGCGAAGGGGGGTCGTTACCTAGAGGAAGGGAGGGTCTGACGTGAAGTCTTAGTGGGGGTATCTGGTTGGCCTTGAACTTGACTTTTCCAGGAGGCCAGCCGTAATCGTGAAGGCCGCGGCGGCGACGACGCGGCGGCGACGACGCGTCGTCGCAATTTTAAACGCCGAGCGTCCGCGGAAACGGCCGAAATGTCACAGCTAGTCGAACCCGACGCCGAATCCCCGAGTACCATTTCCCACCAGCGTAGTGAGCTCGTAGCTGCGTTTACGTATATCCGTAGACGATTATTCGATCTCGCTACCAGTAGACGCCTTTGAGGATGGTCAGTTATGTGTACGTGGAAACGACTCGGGCTGACAAAAACTGACGAAACTTTAACGAAGAATCGGTTACTATTGAACGATGCCTATATATAGTACTAGATATACGTGTGTGTATATATATGTATATATGTATATATATGTACACGCAAAACATAATGTCTAGCTACGAGCTTGTTTTCTTCAACGTTCAAATTTGTCAAGGTCGGCCATCTTCTATATACGTACCTCCTATACTATTTCCATACCCTCGACAGTCGGCTAAAAGCCTTTCGTTATTTCTTTTTCTTCCATTAGAGATTCGGACGACCGACGCGTAGGCGTCGGTACGTATTTTCCTATAGAGATTTTCCATACCGACGTTCTCATTTCCTTCCTCTCGCGTGTTCACTGGTAACGACGTTGACACGGGAAAAGTCGTGCGACTCTCGTGACAAGGCCTTACGGTTGCGTAAGGTACAATAAGAAATATCAAAATGGCTGCTCGTAGCGCGTGAAAGAAGAGAAAAATCTAGTCACCCGCATTATCACAGTGTTTACTACCAGTTGTTCAGGAGTCCTCCGGGCGACGATTCTCCGATTTTATCGAATGTCTACTAGACGTTATTGAACTGGATTAAAGACAATTAACGAGATAATAAGCCGCGTGGTTTACGTGGATTTCAATATAATAAATACATTCGTATTGAAAGTAAATTGAGAATCGTCTAGAAAATATGAATTCGGAGATACGAAGAGTTGTCGGAGATGTCTGACTTGTAACAGCTGTTTCCACTGCTAGAGACATCCATGCTGCTAAAGTGGATGAAGGATTCCTCAAAAATCTTTGTCGATTTTCCAGAATCTAACTGCAACCGGTCGAACCGGAACGGCTGAGCTCAAGGCTACGCACGCATGTATCTGCATGCGTGCTCATATAAATATGTCGAGGGAATCTTCGCGAAATTCAATGTAAACACGATTCCACCTGGTCGACGTACGATATTCATTCTATTCGACTGCGAAAAGAATTGCGAGTCGATGTGGGCAAAGGAAAATAAAAAAAGGAAAACTAAAAAAATAGATATACAAACAGAAATAGAAACGAGTGTGGCGAGCAAAATGAGAATTAAAAAATTTCGCGACTAGCCTCAGCCGATGTTATACGCAGCAGTACCGAATTATCGCGCATACCTAACCTCGCCCAACGCCTAACCTGTTATCTGTTGCCAGGCACGATATCCACAAATAATTCTTTCACGAGTGACGCGTCACCATTTTCGTAGACGGAGTCGCGAATAGCAAACACGTATTGACGCGTGATATTCGCATAAATGAAATGAAATCAAGAACGCCGAGAGTCAGAGACTCGAAAAAAAATTTTTTTTCAACAAAAAGACAAAAAAGCCTGAACTAACATAGAGGAAAAAATTGCAAATTTAATGAAAAAAAAATTTTCCCACCACTAAAATATCCCATTCTCCGTCAACGAGACGTATCCGTAGATAAATTGACCTAAAATTTGTCCCGAAGGGTAACACGTAATAAATCAATGAAAATCAATAGAAATTCGTTACCTATTCTTGGCAAAGGGACCATTGGAAATGAAAAATTTTCCTACGCGTTGTCAAGAATCCCAACTTGGATTCTCCCTCTGACTCATTTTCGTTCTAGCGCGTCCCGCACAGACGTCGACCCTGACCAGCCCTACCCTCCAGTCCGTTCGACCGATCGATGTACCCAAGAATACTGCGTGCAAAAAGTGCGTAAACCCTGCGTGGCTGTGCGATTACGTATAGATGGCAGGACATGACGCATATATCCTTTCTGGCTATGGCAACACGTTGAACGAAATAATACGAGAGTAGCACGTGATGTACATTGGTAAATAAAAAAACAAACAAAAATAAAAATGGCGCCCCCTGAATATCACCGATGACTCACGGTACGAGTATATTAAATATGTAATAAAATATACGTATAGTAACGTCCAGGAATGAGGTGGCTTTCGCAGGTGCCATCTTCCTACGAATTTTAAGGTAAATGAGTCACCTAGAAATGATCGCTAGCTCGTGGAACGACTTTACGTGCGAATTCAACAAACATTTAAGATATTATACACTCGCGACGAGAAAACTCAATGTATATATATATATATATATATCCACATTCAGAACAAATATACTTAGGGAACACATAAGCATATCAGCTTCAGGGTGACCCCAAGTCATTCTCAAAATCCTGCTGCTTTACCGTCTAACAAAGCCGGATGTTAAATTTCACCTCTTTCCTGCGCACTAAGCTCAACATCCAATATACGAGTCCACTTTGGACACCAGACGTGGGCGTCGGGACGTCTCGCTATTTTTCGTGTATTTTTCGCTCGTCATGTTCGGCTTTGTCTTGCGCTCTGCGTTACTACATGTTGTCGTAGGTCACGTATGTATACGCCGAATTCCCCTCCACCACCTGTTCCCCCCCTGATTCGCAGACTTTAGCCTATCCCTGGCCAAACCACAAGAGTAACACGCATGACTACGAGACGTCGGCGTCGTCCCCGCCATTAAGGAGAGTGCGAAGAGAATCGTTATACTCGCTCCACTCCCCCCGCGCCCCCCTACCAAATAACACGGTCGGTGGGAGAACGCGACATGCCTAAATAACAATTATATAATTTTTGTAAATGCGCTACAACATAGCGTAGTATCGTGTTTCGTATCGACGCTTAAATCCGACGGGAAGGGAAACGCGCGCAGCGCCGCGCCGGTTCCCACTGTAACCACAACGTACAGCCCAGCCGGGTTCATAGACGCGTTTGTGTATTCTTGTAGCAATTTTTGTTGCGCATCAGCTACAATATCCTATGCGTCGTTGCCGGAGCGTAATATGTGATAAGAGCTGCCAACACAAGTTTCGCGTGGGAATATGAGAAAATAAAAAAAAAAAAGGTCACGCCACTGCTGCCCCACAGCATAAACGATTGTGATTACCGCATGGGGAAAAAGTTGAGAAAAAAAAAATTGCTTGGGAGGAGGAAAAAAATTATGAAAATAATTAAAGCTTGTCTTCTCCGAGACGCCGAAATTTCTTAACGAGTTTCAAGGGGGCTTTGCAGTTGAGATTACTGGGAACGAAAGTCCCGGGATTATTTGATGTCACATCGAAATATTCCAATCTACGTTGTACAATCTG